CCCCGCGCTCCCCGCGGCTCCCGCGGCTGCCGGCTGCCGCTCGGGCTCGCGCTCGGGCCGCCGCCGCCGCCGCCGCCTCGGCTCGCCGCTGCTCCTCCTCCTCCGCCGCCGCCGCCGCCGCCGCCGCCTCCACCGCCGCGGCGCGGAGTTTTCAGACGGGCAGGGACCCGGACGTCACCAGGAGGAGGGGAAGGCGGGGAGGCGGGGAGGCGGGGAGCAGGAGGCCGCGGAGGGGGCCGCGGGGCGCGCGCGCTCGGGGAAGGGGCGCGCAGGGCGGGCGGGGGCCTGGCCCGCGGGGCTCTCCTCCCCACAGCCCTCAGCCGGGGGGCTGTGGTGGTGGCTGGCCCGGGGCTGGCGGGGAGGTAGGGTGGGGGGTGCGGAACGCGGGCCGGGGTGGCGAGGGGCGGGGCCTGGGGGCGGAGCGAGGGAGGAAAAAGGAGGAGGGAAAGGAAGGGGGTGGGGGCGAGCGGAGAGGACGCACACCCCCCGTGGCAAGAGTAGGAGTGGGGTGGGGGAGAGGGGGACCGTTTCCACGGCGGAGAAAAGGGGCGAGGGCAGAAAAGCAGGGGAGCTCTGGGTGAGGGTGGGCGCGCTCAGCATCAAGGGGAGGTCAGGAGGATCTGGGGGTCCTGAGATCCTGCCTTCCGTGTGGGAAGCCAACACGAGGCAGCTGAGCGGAGCGGGCTCCCCGCCCTGGAGTTTGCAGCCCAGGTATATTCCACGGGCACAAAGAGTGCCGGGCAGGTGGAGACGTGAGAAACGTTATCAGGAGTGTCGGAACCACAGCAGGGTCTTACGCAGCGGGTCCCTGGATCCCTGGATCCCTGGCTTGAAGAGGCAGGGAGGAGGCTATGAATGACTCTCTGTGAGTGACTCCTGAGTCACACCCCACCCTCTAGAGCCAACGATGTCCTAAGTGCTTCCCTGAGTCACTTCTCTGGTCCCTAAGGACGAACAAGCCAAGAGACTCCAAACCCAGTTGGCAAGCAAGTGCTTTAGTTGGTAAGGGGGACTCAGTGGAGTTTCTCAACCTTAGTGGCTTCCAGGTCCAGAGTCTGGTCCCTGAGCCGTCCTCTAGGTCTTTCCTCCAATCCAACCTAAAGCCTGCCTTCCCTTCCGTAAAGGGTTCAGCTCCTGGGGGAATGGGTCTTGCCTTGAAAGTGGAGTTCTCTCCCATCTGGGCTGAACTGTCCCAGTGACCTTGAGCCAGTAGGACTCCTCCCTGGGCTTGAGCTTCCTTTCTGTCAAAGAGAGTTCAGACTGACCATCCCAATGGACTCAAGTTTCATCCCCAGCCTACTCTGACTCAGTCTTTCCAGTCTCTCTCCCTCGTCCTCTCACCCAACTACCCCGACACACCGAGAGTGGATGGCCGGGGGGGGGGGGGGGGGGGGGTGTCTCCCAGACAGGCCTTAGCACAGGAGAATACAATAGCAGATCAAACCTGCAGCTTGTAAATCAGCGACTGGGGGGAGCTTGCATCTTGTCTGCTGTGCCTATAAACCTCATCCTCATTTTGAAAGAGAAGAAAGTGGAGGAATAAACAGGATCTAGCAGAGAAGAGGCAGAGAGGGGAAAGATGGTTTCACCCACTCATCAAGAATCCACACACATCAAACTTGTGTCACACCAGGGCCACGTGCAGGGACCCAAAGGTGAGTAAGGCTCAGTCTCCCCTTCAACAAGCTTGGGGTCAAAAGGGGGATCCAGATGCAGATGCTGGGCACTGAAGAGCATGGGGTCAGTGTCACTTTAGAGATGTGCACAGAGTGCTAGGTGGTAGAGGCCACCTAGAAAATGCTTTCTGGACTCACATCACAAGCCAACCCACTTCCCTGAACTGAGGGTGTAAACTGCCAGCTAGTGGGGATTCTACACTGAGGACTAGACTCAGCATTCAGGGTATCTCCAGTCTTGTCAGACATCTGAACAGACATAGGGGCAGTTCCTTTGGGCTCAGCCCACCCATCCATAAGTGAAACAGAAGAACAGAGGCTTCTTTGGCTTTCTGTCATCTGTTTATCACTAGAGAATATATTGGTTGTAAGGAATTAAACCTCTATTCTAACTGTCTTAAAAATAGAGTTTACTGGTTCATATAACTGAATATTTCAGAGTAAAGACATCAGGTGAGGTTTGATCCAGCAACTCAGGACTATGACTTTGAATTCCTTTTCTTTCCATCTCTACTCTCTGCGAGCCTGGCCAAGGTTCCATATATCACCGATGGCTCTGGGGAGCAGCCAGTGTTCCTGTAACCACCTGGATGTTCTACAGGGATCAGGGTCTTATGGGAAGAAAAGAATAGGTACAGGGGAGGCAGGCACCATTATCTAGTCCATGGGGCCACTTTGATGCTACATGACCTTGGGCAAGGCGCTCCCCTCCAAGGACTCTGGTTTCTTTTAAGGCCAAATGATGGACTGGATGAGATGGTCCCCAAGCTCATCATGTCGTGTCCCCAGAACCCTTCCTCGGGGTCTAAACAGAGCCTCCCAATCCCAGCAGAGGCTGCCCTGGGGACTCTCAGCATCCACGCCCTCCAGCCCATTTTTTTGCTTCAAGGCCTCTGCTGCATTTTTTTTCCTCTAAGCAACGATGATGTTATCTGCTTCCTGCACGTGACACGTTTAACCATGGTCCTCTGGGGCCCATGCTCTGGTTCAGCTCCCTCGGAGCCACTGGCTGAAAGGGTAAGGTTAAGGATCCAGGCCCCCAAGTCCCTGGAGAGAGACAGAGAGAGAGAGAGAGAGTTGTTTATCTCAACTCATAAAAAGCCATGCGAGAAAGAGGTTTAAAAGCTCTGGGCAGGTTATGGATGCCATAAACAGCTTATGTGAGGTTTTCAGGATGAAAAATCACCTGAGATAGAAGGGCAGGAAGGCAAGCTCCTGGGGTCGCCAAGATTATTCCTCCTGCCCTGAGACAGACCGACAGCACGTCAAGCATCCGCACAGAGCCTGATGCAGAAGACAGGGCGGGAGTATGCGAGCGGCAGCGGCTGTGGCAACAGCGGCAAGTCCTTTTAGAATTTTTAAAGCTCATTCAGTCATTCAACACAGATGTATTGGACCCTATTATGCACCAGGAACCATGCTGGGCAAGAGAAAAATAGATATGAAGAAGATTCCCTAAGGATTTTTTCTTTTTAAATACGGCTCCTACTCTCACATTAACTGAAAGCCAGAGCTCTAAGGAAGTTCCAATGATGTGTGGGATTCCCTCCACATCCCCACCCCCAAATCTTGTTTGATCATCACTTTCAAATGAGGGGAGAGAAGATCAGTCAGCAAGGAGTTCTGAGCTCTTGGGTGTGCCCAGGGCGAAGCTTGGAGCTGGGGGGGAAATCAGGGAAGAAGGGTCTTCACCCTGAAGGAGCTATCAGACAGATGTCCAGCTCCGTTGCTTTTTATCTGAGGTTTTCCGCGTCAGTTAAGTTCCTTATGCCTCAGTTTCCTCATCTGTAAAATGGGGGGATGATAAGAGGGCCCTCCTCACAGATTTCTTATAAGGATTAAATGAGATAAACCATGTAAAGGGTTTTTCTATAGAGACTGGAATGCAGTAAATACGCCACAAAAGGTATTGTTCATTTCGTCAATAACAGTAGGGCAGTGTCAATGATGAGTGCCCCAAGGGAGAAAAAAAGGTAGTTAGGGAAGGCTGCCTGGAGGAAGCAGCATTACGTCTAGCCCTCCAATTTGATAAAACACTCCCAGTATGCCCAAGAGCAAGGATCTTTTCTGTCTCTGGCACTCTGCATAGTGCAGGACATGGAGTAAACCTCAGGCATAGAATGAACACTCGCTCGTGTATCGGAGCTTACAAGTTGGCAGAACCCATCACCATCTTGGCACTTTTTAGTTGTGTGATTTTTGGCAGTTGCTTAACATTACTGAACCTCAGTTCTCCAATCTGTAAAAGGCAAAGAGAAATAATGTTTACATCCTAAGGCTGCCGTGGGGCATGGGATCAGGGTACGGTATGAAACAAAGTGCCATATATTTCATACTAACTGTTGGCACCGGCCAGTGTCAGTACTGATGGAAGGTTGGCCTGGCTGTGGCAGCAGGCTGGTCTGTAGGGAAAGGCTCTCCCCTTCTCTCAAGTACTCCTGACAGAAGGTACCAGAGAGGTAGGGCCTGACATGCCTTCTTCTGAATTTAAATAAACTTCAGCCAAAGAGTCACATGTAGTCAAATATGTGGATTGTTGTTGTTATTTTTTTTTAAATCTCAACCTGCCTTCATCGTAATGTGTCTGTTTCTTTTTGGTTTCTTAGAGCCTGTTTTTACGCAGGCTCTGTTCTGACCCTGACTTTCCTCTTAAAAAATGTAAAACCTCCCCCTCGGTTTCACTTCAGCATCAAACAGAAGGCAGAAACACGGGCTCCCTGATTCACAGTGTCAGTGGGAGGGTCACGCACAGAACACCGTCGCATCGCTAGGAACCTCTGGTTCTCTCAGACAAGCACATGCAAGCACCATGATTCCTGGGCAGGTGGAGGTCAGAGGAGCCAGGATGCCGGAAGCCACACACCCAGCCCCGCCCCCCCCAAGCACATGAGGCCACAGACACACATCACCTGTACCCCGCCTCCCCCCACTCCACCCAAGAGAAGGAAACAGCCTCTGATCCAAGCACAGACATAGGTAGGTGCCCTGTCCTGCCAGACACCCAGCTGTGTTCTGACACAGGCTGTCGTTCCAGGATCAGCAGAGGGAGCTCTAGGTAGCAAATAACTTTCCTCTGCCAGCATACTTTCCTGTAGAAAAGATCTGGAGACAGCAAGGAAAAGCAGGAGTCCTAAGGGGAGCTGGCATCTGCCCTGCACAGAAGGGACCCCCAGTCATTTGCAAGGGCAGCCTGTGGGGAGGTGGGGCTGGGGTGGGGAGGACAGAGGAGAGGGGGACACACAGGATGAAGAGAAAGGACAGGTGGGAATCAGGAACCACTACGCTGGCCACGGATCATGTGACCTTGCCCGGTACCAGCGCCTGACCCCTGAGGCCTTACCGCTTTTATACTACCCTCGGACGCTTTGATGTCTGAAGAAGGGACCCACTCCGGGTCCAGTTAGCAGATAATCTTGGCAGGCATTTTTTGTTTTGCTTTAAAATAAATACTTATTGTGTGTGTCCGTGGTGCCCAGTATGGTCCCTGGGACCCCAGGCTGCAATGGTAACAAGGATGACAAGCATACACTCAATGCCAAGCCCTGTGTTCAAGACTTCGACAAACAATGGTCCCCAAATATTTACTGAGAACCTCCTCGATGTCCACGACTGTGTTCCTGCTGAGGAGGTAACCATGAATAAGACACAGCCGGTCCTTGACCTCATGGAGCTTCCGTTCTAGTGCAGGGGCACAAGGGCTGAGACCAGTACGTAAGTATGTACACAAGTAACACCAGAGAGAGAGGAGTGCTCTGAAGGAAGTAAAAAGGAGCCACCTGCTAGACACTACAATAGGGCAAGTTAAAACAGGCTGGGTGGGGGGACCTCATGGAGGAAATGTCACTGGAGAGTCTCATACACTGTCTCACAAAACATGACTTTCAGAGGCGTCTGATTCCTTCCGAGCACCAAGCGTCATCTTTC